ATTTTTTTTAATTGGAGTTAAAATTAACGTAGATATATGACCGAACCTAACCAACCCTACCTAACCTAACCTAACCTATATTTATAGGTAAGGTTAGGTTAGGTAGCCAAAAAAAGCTAGGTTAGGTTAGGTTAGGTAGGTTAGGTAGACGAAAAAACATTAATTCATGAAAACTTGGCTTATTAGGCAAATCGGGCCTTGAATAGTAGGCTGAGAAGTGCGTTCTGGCTATTAGGTACGACATATATATATATATATATATATAAATATATATATATATATATATATATATATATATATATATGTCGTACCTAGTAGCCAGAACACATTCTCAGCCTAATATGCAAGGCCCAATTTGCCTAATAAGCCAAGTTTTCCAGAATTAATATATTTTCTCTATTTTTTCTTATAAAATGATAAAGCTACCCATTTCATTATGTATGAGGTCAATTTTTTTTTATTGGAGTAAAATTTAACGTAGATATATGACCGAACCTAACCAACCCTACCTAACCTAACCTATCCTATCTTTATAGGTTAGGTTAGGTAGTCGAAAAACAATTCATGAAAACTTGACTTATTAGGCAAATCGGGCCTTGCATAGTAGGCCAAGAAGTGCGTTCTGGCTACTAGGTACGACATATATATATATATATATATATATATATATATATATATATTGGTGTATACTGGCAGCAGGTTTTCTTTCAAACATGTTCATTGAATATGACCGCATATTCTGTATTATTATTTTCTGGTTTAGGGCTTCTATCCCTCTAACTGTTTTCTTAGCATCAGGGCATAATTGAAATAGGAGTTCTCCAAAACTCATTTTCGTACTTTAAGGTGAAGAAAAGAAGTGATTTACTATAGAGTGTATTACACTTATTTGTATAATTTGCACGACGTTTCGAACCTCCATGGTTCATTCTCAAGTGAACAGATCTTACAATACTAGTTGATTTTATACCCGCATTAGGTCAGGTGATAATACAATGAAGGTGAAAACATTGGGGGATACATAAGGGATAAACATAGGGGCTGCAGAAGGCTTATTGGGCCCATACGAGGCATCTCCTATCTAAACACAAAGATTAATCCAGTGTAATTGGCCTGTTATGTTGGACATTGTCTTCTGTGTTGGCATCGATATGTTCTTGTCTTGTCCTTACTCTCATGGTGGGTAGAGTAAATAGTTCCGTGATTTGGGTGTTCATGGTAGGTCGCTCTATTCTTATGTGAATTGCCTCAAGAATTTGTAATCTTCTTGAATCTTGGGTTTTGTCTATTATGCAAGTATTCTTGTTCAACATTTCTCTTGTTAGAGTAATGTCATGGGCTTGTCTCATGTGATTCCTAGGGGCACCAGATTGAAGATGGCAAGTCAAACGCCTCGTCAGCTTGGTCGACGTCATACCTATGTACTTACATTGAAGGTTACATCCTTCGTGGGGGCAAGTGTACATGTATACAACGCTTGACTGCTGTAGAGGGTTCTCCGTCGGCTTCGGGCTGTTTTTGATAAGGAGTTCGGAAGTCTTCTTGGTTTTGTAGAATATTATCAGGTTTATGTTTTGGTTAGGAGTAGTGCTTTTTACTCCTTTACGGATTATTTCTTTCATTATTCTTTCCTCTTTTATATGTTCACTGTGCATGGTTGATTTGTAATATAATTTTATTGGGGGTGTTGTGGTTTCTGTTCTAGGTTCTGAATTATACCAACGGTCCAAGTGTCTTCTTATAGCAGCGTTTAGCACCAACGTATATACCAAGCCCACCAACATAGGATTATGCCTGAACGGTAGAAGTGAGTGCCCCCAAAGATACAAAGCCAGTGTTCTCAATGCTTATATTCGTCGAGCGCTTACCCACTGCTCTGAATGGAGCAACGTGAGTAGAGAGTTTGAAAGAGTAACTCAGGTATTGGTAAACAACGGATATAGCAACGCGGAAATAAACGCTGCTATAAGAAGACACTTGGACCGTTGGTATAATTCAGAACCTAGAACAGAAACCACAACACCCCCAATAAAATTATATTACAAATCAACCATGCACAGTGAACATATAAAAGAGGAAAGAATAATGAAAGAAATAATCCGTAAAGGAGTAAAAAGCACTACTCCTAACCAAAACATAAACCTGATAATATTCTACAAAACCAAGAAGACTTCCGAACTCCTTATCAAAAACAGCCCGAAGCCGACGGAGAACCCTCTACAGCAGTCAAGCGTTGTATACATGTACACTTGCCCCCACGAAGGATGTAACCTTCAATGTAAGTACATAGGTATGACGTCGACCAAGCTGACGAGGCGTTTGACTTGCCATCTTCAATCTGGTGCCCCTAGGAATCACATGAGACAAGCCCATGACATTACTCTAACAAGAGAAATGTTGAACAAGAATACTTGCATAATAGACAAAACCCAAGATTCAAGAAGATTACAAATTCTTGAGGCAATTCACATAAGAATAGAGCGACCTACCATGAACACCCAAATCACGGAACTATTTACTCTACCCACCATGAGAGTAAGGACAAGACAAGAACATATCGATGCCAACACAGAAGACAATGTCCAACATAACAGGCCAATTACACTGGATTAATCTTTGTGTTTAGATAGGAGATGCCTCGTATGGGCCAATAAGCCTTCTGCAGCCCCTATGTTTATCCCTTATGTATCCCCCAATGTTTTCACCTTCATTGTATTATCACCTGACCTAATGCGGGTATAAAATCAACTAGTATTGTAAGATCTGTTCACTTGAGAATGAACCATGGAGGTTCGAAACGTCGTGCAAATTATACAAATAAGTGTAATACACTCTATAGTAAATCACTTCTTTTCTTCACCTTAAAGTACGAAAATGAGTTTTGGAGAACTCCTATTTCAATTATGCCCTGATGCTAAGAAAACAGTTAGAGGGATAGAAGCCCTAAACCAGAAAATAATAAATACAGAATATGCGGTCATATTCAATGAAATATATATATATATATATATATGTCGTACCTAATAGCCAGAACGCACTTCTCAGCCTACTATTCAAGGCCCGATTTGCCTAATAAGCCAAGTTTTCATGAATTAATGTTTTTTCGTCTACCTAACCTACCTAACCTAACCTAACCTAGCTTTTTTTGGCTACCTAACCTAACCTTACCTATAAATATAGGTTAGGTTAGGTTAGGTAGGGTTGGTTAGGTTCGGTCATATATCTACGTTAATTTTAACTCCAATAAAAAAAAATTGACCTCATACATAGAGAAAAGGGTTGCTTTATCATTTCATAAGAAAAAAATTATAGTAAATATATTAATTCAGGAAAACTTGGCTTATTAGGCAAATCGGGCCTTGAATAGTAGGCTGAGAAGTGAGTTCTGGCTACTAGGTACGACATATATATATATATATATATATATATATATATATGTGTGTGTGTGTGTGTGTGTGTGTGTGTGTGTGTGTAATTACATGAAGAGAGCTATACTCGTGGTGTCCCGTCTTCCCAGTCCTCTTTGTCATATAGCGCTTTGAAATTTTTGACAGTTTTGGTCTCCACCACCTTCTTATTTTGCTTGTTCCAAGTGTTTACCACTCTGTAAAAGAAAATTTTCAAAAATTTTTTTTAGCACCTTTATTTCCTTAGCTTGAATCTGTGTCCTCTTGAAGATTTCAGGAATTCCCCTTTGTCAACTTGGTCGATTCCTGTTATTATTTTGTAAGTGGTGATCATATCATCTCTTTTTCTCCTATCTTCTAGTTTCTATCTTCTTGTTTTGGCATATTTAACGCTACTAGCCTCTCTTCGTAACTCTTGTTTTTCAGTTCTGGACGCTGTTTTGTAGCATGTCTTTGCACTTTTTCCAGTTTATTGATGTGCTTCCTGAGATATGGGCACCATACAACTGCTGCATATTCCAATTTTGGTTTTGCAAAAGTCATGAACACGTGAGTGTGTGTTGCATGCATATGTGCATGCATGTTTGTTTTTTGATGGCTTGTGTACATAGTTACCCTAATTGTTGTGGTGTTTGTGCACAGATAATCTGAGCATGTACCGTGTGCATCTTGATGAGTAAAACCTCTGTTGTGTATGTAGATTCTGACACTGTGTCTGTAAATGCAGTAGTTGCTCCTCAACTGCCCATACTAGGTGAAGTCTAGACGACGAGCCTTCTTTTCTGTTTGCGTTTCCCTGTAACCTTCCTCCAATGCTAGTTCTAATTCATTCTCTGGAATTTTTTTAACGACCCTCAGGGCTTCCTTGATGGCCTGAAAAAAAATTATTTGTTTAAAATATTATAGAAATAACATCATCATCATCATTAATTTTTATCATTTAACAGGTGGCATTGTTAGAGACCTGGCTATGGGAACCCTGATCCTCGGAACCACCAACAGGTAGGGTGGTTCCAGACAATTATTAGTTTCAATTACAATTCAGGGTAGTTTGGACAATCACATTGCCCAAAAACCAGCGTTAAAGGTAATGAAACAGCATTTTCTGGGTGAGCCCCAGAGGCTCCACGGAGCTATAGGACTGATATGCACTATATTAGCCTGGGGCTTCAGTCCATGGCATTCTGCCTATCAGGGACCATGAGCCAGAATCTGGCCCCATCAGAGAAGCGCTGGGAGCAATGGCCTAGGAATACCTCCTTTTATTTGGGGGTATTTCCTGTCAACTATCGACTGGGGTTAAACACCCAGAAAGGTAGGCATCTCAAAACGAACCCACATTATAGGAAACTGGGGAAAAAAAACAAGACCGAATAAAGAAACATAACTCCCCAAAAGAAAGAAGGAAAATAAGCAAACAAGCAAACGTTAACCACCACCGTTGCACCGCTTGTCTGCACAGCTCATCCCTACCCCCTCCCTCAGCATACTGGATATGCTAATGGTGTATGAGCGTCTGGCTGTCTGAGGTTCAAACCCTTCACAAGGAAAAGTTTTTCTGATGCATATGACTTTAGGACTGTTTAAGCTTATCGTGTGTGTATGTAATTACGTAAGTGTAGTTACAGGATGAGAGCTACGCTCGTGGTGTCCTGTCTTCCCAGCACTCTTTGTCATATGACGCTTTGAAATTACTAAAGATTTTGGCCTCCACCACCTTCTCACCTAACTTGTTCCAACTGTCGACCACTCTGTTTACAAAAGTTAATTTTCTTATATTTCTCCGGCAGCTTTGTTTCGTTAGTTTAAATCTATGACTACTTATTCTTGAAGTTCCAGGTCTCGGGAATTCTTCCTTATCAATTTTATCGAATCCTGTTATTTTTTTGTACGTAGTGATCATATCACCTCTTTTTCTTCTTTTCTTCATTATGTCACCTGATACAGGTGACGTAATAAGTGATATGGACTACTTCACTGCACATTTTGATGAGCCACTCATGGAATATATTGTTCACAAAAAGAACAGATATGCGGCTTATCCCATTGTAGGCGAGAATGTATCAGAATTTTCACGATTACAGCGTTTTAAAGAAACGACTGTAGGTGAACTGTATGTGTTTTTCGCCAAGTATATGTTGATAAAACATTGTGTGAAACACGTAATATCCCTTTATTGGAGCAAAGACAACACTGTTCCAACACTATCACACTGAAGAGTCACAATGCTGCAGGCTTCAGGATAATTCAAATTATCTGAGTGTGGGGAGTAGGGTGAGGGTTGCAGGTAATGTCACAGAATACATGATGGGGTTGGGAATTTGAAAATAATCTAAGAGATAAGAAATAAGTGTTAGTGAATGAAAAATCTTGGGTAGAAAAGTTGATCTTTCAAAACAGCAGAATGTCAACAAAGATGACCACCACCACAGGGGAGGACAGCAACCCAGCAAGGCAATGTTTTACAGGTTTCTCGCAACAAGACGTAATGAAAGGTGGTTTTCTTGGCAGGTTAGTGATTATTGAGGACATACTAAAGAATTATGAAGAAAAGGTTATTAAATTAGAACAAGAAAATGAAGGTCTCAAGATTGTGTTTTGTAAGTTAAAAGGAAGTATTTTCCAGCAAGATAAGGAAATTACTAGCTTGACTGATAAGGTAAGGATGCAGGAGGAACACATATAGGAACTAATAAAGGATAATGAGGCATGGAAAGTGAAGAGTAGGGAATTTGAAGAAATTAACAAGAAAATAGACTCATATGATGAACAACTCCAAGGGACCTGTCATGTTCACAGAAAATGGTACCATCCGTTTTCTATGTGCGGCGGCTCAGATGCCGAGGAGAGGTAAACAATAGAGCGTACAGAACCAACCCGTCCTCTTAAAATTAACGTCAGTTTTCGCTCGTATGCGCGCTATGGCCAAATTTGGACGGAATTTGAAATGAAATCGACTTGCAAAAGTGACGTACTGTTCCGTTTTCTGTTTGAGTCGTCCGGCTTACTCGGCAAGCTTAGAAGAGGCAACTTTCCATTAACGTTTTTCATGACATTTTGATACTTTATGAGAATTTCCTGCCCACCTAACCTATCAGAGGACCCTTAACTTACTGTTGTTGACAACAAAATCCCAAATTTATTTACATTTTTTTTCTCATGTTCAAATTACGTCCATATTCGGCCATACGGGCAAACGGCCAAAAGCGACGTTCTTTTTAAGAGGACAGGTTGACAGGACGCCCACCAAGCTTGGAAGCTGCTAGTCATGTATCAGTTTAAGTATTAAAGTCAGTAACCAAGCAATGGCTTTATATCAACCCTACAACCAAGACTTCCTCAGTAACACACAACACCACATTGGCGACGAGGATGAACTGTGAACGCAGGTATTTGTTCAGCTTAAAACACAAGGAGAAACATGCTGTCTCGCCCCCGGAGGAGGAAGAAGTCGTGCTGTCTGTGAGCACCATACCCGATGCTGCGTGCTAACCAATGCTGTGTGCTAACCAATGCAATGTGCTAACCGATGCTGTGTGCTAACCAATGCTATGTGCTGACAAGCTGTGTACTGAGAAATCTGCGATCCATGTGTGCCGACGCTGTGTATGAAACGACGCTTTGATGCTGTATACAAAACCCGATGTTTTGTATACGAAACGCGCTCTGTGCTACAATTCTTCATGCTGTGAACTGACTGCTGTGCCAACTGCTGACAACTGCTGTACCAACTGCTGCCAACTGCTGTACCAACTGCTGACAACTGCTGTACCAACTGCTGTGCCAACTGCTGACAACTGCTGTGGTGCTGTGAGTAGGAACAACACATGTACACAAGGGTTAGGTAAGAAGTCAGTTGCTGCTATATTGTGCACTGCTGTGAACTTTTGCATTAAAATGCTTGTGTGCTTTGCAAAATTAAAGTAATTACAGTGAATTCTTAACATATACAGTGCAGTAAGTGTTTAGTATTCTGAGGAACATTTAAGTGATAAGTTTACATTTATACAGTAAAAATGGCAAATATACCTCAGTTTCCTGCATTTGATCCTGACTGTGACCAGACAAACCTGTCACAGAGGTGGATCAAATGGCTTAAAAGGTTTGAAAACTTGTTGATAGTTTCTGACATCAAAAGTGCTGAAAGAAACTGTGCCTTTCTACTTCATTATGCAGGTGATCAAGTTTGTGACATCTTTGATACACTGAAAGACACTGGTTATCTTGAGGTTATCTTGAGGTTATCTTGAGATGATTTCGGGGCATTTTAGTGTCCCCGCGGCTCGGTCCTCGACCAGGCCTCCACCCCTAGGAAGCAGCCCGTGACAGCTGACTAACACCCAGGTACCTATTTTACTGCTAGGTAACAGGGGCATAGGGTGAAAGAAACTCTGCCCATTGTTTCTCGCCGGCACCTGGGATCGAACCCAGGACCACAGGATCACAAGTCCAGAGTGCTGTCCGCTCGGTCGACCGGCTCCTGGTGGTGCCAAAGATTATGACACTGCCAAAGCAAAATTAACAGAACATTTCAAACCAAGACAAAATGCTGCAATGGAAATTATGCATTTCAGGAGAGCCAGACAACTCTCTAAAGAAACCGTTGATCAATACCACACACGTCTGCAGGGTTTAGCAGCCCATTGTGAGTTTGCTGATGTTGACAAAGAAATCAAACAGCAAATAATTGAAACATGCACATCTACACGTCTCCGTCGAAGAGCTCTAGAACTTGTTGATGATGAAAGTTCTCTTACCAAGATACTGGATATGGCTCATCGAATGGAAGATGCTGCACGTGATGCTCGTGTCATGGAGTGCAGTGCCAATAATGGTTCTGCGACTGTTACTAACAGTGATGAGGTATGTAAGGTTCAGGGAGGACATCGTAATCAAAGAAGATATCATGCCAAACCTAACAGTAAATTGAGCCGAGAACCACATCACATCTGGAGTCATGGAACAAGACTCAAGCAGTCACAACGACCCACATCAGAGAGTGTCAACAATAAATGTTACAATTGTGGAGGAGACTACCCACACCAAGGTAATGTTTGTCCTGCTCAAGGTAAGAAGTGCTATGAGTGTAGAAAACTAGGTCATTTTGGTGCTATGTGTTGCTCTGCACTCAAGAAACCACAGTCAGTGAATAAAAGCACTGTATGAGGATCAGTTCATAGGGGTCGAGGTGATAAACACAATATTGCACCTCATATCCAAAATGTTAATAATGTACAAGACAACATTTCATTACAACCAGTCTCAGATGACAGTGAGTGTGATTATACTTATGGAGTACAATCAATCACAGAATGGAATGATCTTCCAAACAACCCAGAGACTATAGTATACATTGCTGGTATTTGTCTCAAAGTTCTCATTGACACTGGATCAAACATTGACACCATTGCTGAGTGCCACTATGAAAAACTTAAAAAACAGTTCCCAAAGCTTGAAAACTACAATGGCAAAGCCACTGCCTATGCTTCAAAGGTAGCCTTGCCAGTGATTGGAACTTTCACTGCAGAGATTAAGTCAAAGAGTGCAATGCTTATTACTACATTCCATGTTGTTAGGAATGCAATGGAGTCTACTCAGTTACAAGACTTCAACCAAATTGGGGCTACTTCAGCTTTTTAATGCTGTAGCAGTGGAATCTGCAAACAATGTTGATGCTATTGTTGCTGAATTTTCTGATCGATTTGAATCCATAGGTTGTTATACTGATAGCAAAGTACATCTGCATATCAACCCAGATGTAATTCCAGTTGCCCAACCACATCGCCGACAACCATTCCATACTCGCAAGAAAGTCGATGCCGAACTGGATAGGCTGATGGAACTAAATATCATTGAACCAGTAACAGGCCCAA